AAAAAAAAAAAAAGACAATGCTCCAAAGGGCCTGGGTCCCTTCATTATTTTATAGGAAATCCAACTCCAGCAGCCTTACACAGCCATTATCACTTAATTACCAATATAAATCTCACTAGCAACTTCCATAACTTCATTTGCAAATGAATATGCATACCCCTAAATCATCCCCTCCTTTTCTCTCTCTCCCGCAAGCCATTCCCCAACCGATGGATGCTCAGAGAAACTCCAAGGCAGCCGTGATTTGCAGAGGCTCCCTGGTGGCCCGTGGCCCACCGGGCCAGCATGTACCTGGAACATGGCTAGACGGGCACCACGGTGCCCACCTTCCCGCTCACACCCATAAATCCCTGCCGGCCTCTGCGAGGGGCAGGAGCATGGCAGGAGCCTGGCTCCCTCTGCTTAAAAGGTTCACAAACCACAGTCAACTTCTTAGTGATCTGAGGCCAAGTTTCCGGTATGTAATGAAAACTGAAACCTGGTTTTGGGTTTCCTCCCCAAATTCACACAGAGCTAGTCATGGCAAGAGACGTGTGAGGTAGCTAGGACAAGCAGCACTGAGGCTCAACTGAGACGCACGGCCTCAAGTTCTATTTCGGGCTCTGCCACCAACGTGTGTGGCCTGAAGCCCGTCACCCACCCTCACTCCCCTTAGGTAACTTTCTCTAGTGGTGAGAGGGTGCTTTTGACCTCGACCTTTCCTTCTGGGGCCTGTGGGGGCTACAGGGCAGAGGACTTTGAGGGAGGAGCATCCCCCTGAGTCTTATTTACAGCACACACACACATGTCAGGATGCTATGGCCGTCCCACCCGCATCAACATTTATATGTTGCCCTCTGTCTGCGTTCTGAAGCGTTGCTCTTACTTCTTTTAGGCTTCGGCTTGGATTTCAGGCACATTTATACTTGTTTGGCTTTCGACTTAATGGAGACGACCAGAATCATGTCTCCGTTATTTCGAGGGTTCACCTAGATGACCCCCCAGATCATTCCCAATGTGGTGCTTCTGTGAGTTTACGAAATGCCCCGGCGGAAAGAGAGCGAACCCAGGCTTTGAAGGCAGGCATACCTGGTCCCAGCTCTTAGCTCTCGAATCTACTAGCTGTGTGACTTCAGGCAAACTATTTAACCTCTCTGAGCCTGATTTCCTCATCTGAAAAACTGGGCCAATGCCAACTACCAAACTGTTGCCACGAAGATTAAGAAAGTACTTACAAGACATGGAACAGAGTGCCTGCTATATAGTAGATGCTGATGCCAACACGAAATTCTGCTTTTCTTTATTCACGTGAGTCTCCGATGGGTCAAAAAGTGTAGGCCATCGTACAGTTGAATGTTGCTTCTTTCTTCTCATCCAGGGTCCCACTTCAGAAAGAAGGAAAGAAGGAAATAAACAATAACCCTCAGAGGCTCTGCTGAAAGCATCACCCATCCATTGAAATGTACTTTCCATTCAAAAACTAGGTTATTAATTATTCATTCCTATTGGAACTGAAATAAGAACAGAGCTCACTGCTTACGACCCGGAGCTTGACAGCAACAGGGCTCCAACTGCTTGTTGTCAACTGTTTCCTGTGATCTATGTAATACATCCCAAATCTGAGATTTGCAGTGTTAAGAATCAGGCAAACTTTAGACTGAATGACTGTCAGTAATATTTAGTAGATGCCCTGGAATGACTGACTGTTCACTTTCTTTTCATTTCCATTCCAAGCAGTGCATTTCTTGGGGATTATTTCACTGCATGGGTGGCCAAGTCCCTTGGCCTTCAGCCGTATGGCTCATTCCACCGCTCTGGGCAAGCAATAACCACCCAAAAATGCAAGCTTTTCTTTCATGCCCCAGTGGCATGAGTAACATCATTAACTCTTCGAGGTTGAGATTTGGGATTACGTAAAAACCTTACACCCCGCTGTGTTAGCAGTCCGAATACCAGAGTAACAAAGTGTTCGCAGTCTGTTTTTCATGCCAGAAATGCGGTTGCCCTAATAAACAGTCCTTGAGATATTTTTTCCCAGCGATTACATTTCATCAGGATTGCGGATTTCAAAATGGAAGCTAAGTACTCCCTACTGCTGCTAGTTCCAGCGAGAACAAATACGTGAGACTCTTCAGACCAGGGGAAATTCTGCTGACATGTCCCCAGGAGCGAAAGGACAGGAAGAGCACAGCTGTGCAGGATGGTGTTTCACATGCTCCTCTATGGATGAGCTTTCTAAAGAGTAAAAACCTTGCAGGACACTCAGTAAAAGGAGACACAGTAACACATTTCCTATGGGCCTTGGGCCAGGGCTGGGACAAACCAGAGCCCCATGCACGTGCACTGTGGATTCCGCGCGCCATCTGGTGGCTCGGAGCTGACATGGCAAGCACCGTCTGGGCTTTCACCCCATTGAGGCCTCATTCACACAAGGAGCGCTAAGTAGGCTTTGAAGTTCTGTTGGGAGGTGATCACCGGGGCCCCAAAGGAAGACACCAAAGGCCCAGTGTTCTGAATTCCATTCTTTATTCCACAACAGGATACTGAGGCCCCGGGTTCTCCTGGAAAACAGAGATAACTATCCTTCCTTTAGGACCAGACTTCCTCGGACACAACACCGTGAGCAATCATCTCTGAGTCGTCTGGCCCTTCATGTTCTCCTTCCTATGTCATGATCGCCCAGGTCTGGGTACAGGAGTCCCCCTCTTGCCCCTGCCTGGAACCCACTTACGTCCTCCCTCCAGCCTTCTGGATCCTGCATCGGTCCACAAGCATCTTTACATTCTCAGAAGACCTGTCTCAGTTTTTGCTCACCCTAGTGTTTCCAAAGCATATTCCAAGAATACTGGATTTATTATTAAGAATTGTAACTTTGGAGCGCCTGGCTGGTTCAGTTGGAAGAGCATGCGACTCCTGATCTCCTGGTTGCGTTCAAGCCCCATGTTGGGTGTAGAGATTACTTAAAAAAATAAACTTAAAAAAAAAAAAAGAATCATACCTTTAAAAAAAGGCATCCACCTTGGGAAACTCTGGGTTATACCAAGTTAAAACAGATATTATTGTGGGACATCTCAAGAGCTTCAACATTCTGAGATCATAGCAGATTTTTAAGAAGGAACTACAATTTGCTATAGTTGCTAAACTTACTTGACATCAAAACCTTTTCCCCACCTCCACCTTTGAAGTGCTTCTTGACATACTGCATTTGACAAAATAGCTTTAGGGAGAAAATGGTCTAACCTACTCACTTGATTAGATAGCCATCTTTTCATAAGTGAAAGACTGTGTGAGTCTCCTCTGGCTGCCATAACAAAAGTACCACACACGGGTGGGGGGGTGCGTGGTCTCACACCACAGAAATTTATTTTCTCACAGTCCTGGAGGCTGGAAGTCGGAGATCAAGGTGTGGGCAGGGCTGGTTTTTTCTGAGGCTCTCTCCCTGGCTTGTAGGTGGCCATCTCCTCTGTGTGTCTTCACATGGTCTTCCTTCTGTGTGTGTCTGTGTCCTAATCTCCTCTTCTCATAAGGACACCATTCCTATTGAATTAGGGTCCAGCTTCACGATCTCATTTTAACTTAATTACTTCTTTAAAGATCCTATCTCCAAATACAGTCACGTTCTGAGGTGCTGGGGTTGGAACTTTAGTATATGAATTTTGAAGGGGGACACAATTCAACTCATGATAGCATCTTCGTTTTATATCTGTTGGAGAAAATGTGTGCATCGATGGAAAATTATGCATTCTTTAGAGCAGGGCCAGCAAACTATAGCCAGGGGGCCAGATAGGGACTGCCACCTGTGTTTATAAATAAAGTTTTATTGGCACAAAGCTATGCTCATTCCTTCACAGATTGTCTGTGGTTACTTTCATGTTCAAATACCGTATATGGCTTGCAAAAACCAGAAATATTTATTATCTGGCCCTTTATAGAAAACGCTTACCAATGCCTGGTCTAGATCACATCCCTCAGGGCTATCTAATTCCAATTCTGTAGGGTCTCTGCCCTTTTCATTGCTTTTGAGCTATTTTACAACTCAGTAAGTTGTAGATAATAGATAGCAATGCAAAATAATCTTTGCTTATGGACACAAACAAGCCAGTTCTGTCTCCACTTCCTCATTCCTTTCAATATTCCTCACCTGTAAATGTGGATTCTCTTTTGAACTGGTTGTGACATCTTTTGAACTGGTTGTGACATCTTGCAGTGCCCTTATTAATCATGAGTTAAATAAAATCTTTAACACATGGTCATTTTATATCTGGATGAGAGTCATAATTTTACCTTTTTGAAAATTTTCCTTTAACATGTCAATGTGATTATGCTTGGGTGTGATAATGGCATTGGGATTATGAAGGACGATGGTTTTGTTCTCAGAAGATGCATACTGAAACATTTAGGGGGGAGTGTCATGACGCCTACAGTTTACTTCCAAATGCTTCGGCATATATGTACAGATACACGTGTGTGCATACATACTTACACACATATAAGGTGTATGTAGGGGAAGACAGAGAGAAAGATAAAGGGCATATGATAAAATATTAACAGCCAGTGAATCTAGGTGAAAGCCACATGATGCACTGGAATGGTGTACTACTCATTCAACTTTTCTGTAGGTTTGACAATTTTCAAAATAAAAAATGGGAGGGATAAGATTATGTCACATTCCCAGCTCAGCATGGAGCCAACCCCATGACCTATATCTGTGGGTGTCTCTCCAGTACTTCTGAGAGCAGCCAATTACAGACCTTTGTTAGCTCTCTGACTCTTTGGGGTCCGTGCCACAAAGAAGAATAAGCAAATGAAACATTGATGTTTCTATTGTCATGTGGCTCATTTTTTTTAGAGTCTTTAATGGTACTAAGTGAACAAGATATTAAGGTAGAATTTTTTTAACTAGATTTCTCATATTCCCAAAGAATTCTTTTAAAATAAATAAATATTAGGGCACCTGGGTGACTCAGTCGGTTAAGTGTCTGCCTTCAGCTGGGGTCATGATCTCAGGTTTCTGGGATCAAGCCCTGTGCTGGGCTCTCTGCTCGGTGGGGAGTCTGCTTCTACCTCTCCCTCTGTGTTCTCTCTCTCCCTCTGAAATATGTAAATAAATAATCATAAATAAATAAAATTAAATTAAAAAATAAATATTTTCAAATGAGCCCAGGATCTGAGGACCGCTTAGAGGACGTTCATGTTCAAGCTTAGGGTACAACTTTTGAGGGTGGGCATTGAGGTTTGTGTCTCTCAGTTGCTGCACAGATATTATATTAACCCGCCCCCTCCAGAATGACATCATGGCCTTAACGCAGTTAGGGAGCCCCATTAATTGTCATGTGTCTGCTGCTTGAGTTGGGACTATGAGATTTGGAGCGGTTAGCATACTTAGAGGTATGAACGGCCAGGTAACAATGAGGGAAGAAAGTAAGCTACATTCTCAAACACTGTGTCATTTAGCGTGAAGGTTTGGGATTGAAATTTTCTGCCCGAGGGAAGCAGAAAAAATGAGGTTTTACAGAGTGCTGCCTGTTTCTAAATCTAAAAGGCACACTAAAAATAGCTCATGGGACAGCGCTGCCCAGAGGCTTCCTGAGCTGCCCAGTGGGAGTTCCTGCTTGGGGAATCTGTCCTTCAAAGCTGCTCCTCCGAACAGCCCTGAGAGTGTGTGTGAGTCACGGGGTTCTCCTGGGCTGCCTTTCATCTGGTCACAAGGAAGCAGGGGCTGGAGTGGACGGAGATGCTCCTTAATTGAAGGAGGCCCTAGAGGAGGAGACTTTCTACCTCTGACAAAGCTGATGGTCCTGAAGGGAGAGGCGCAGTGCAGGCTCAGAGATCCGACCACCGTGAAATCAACAAGAGTGAATGGGCTTTGGCCATGACCAACACTCACGCTGAAAAAAACTGCCTTTTCTCTTCCATCCCTACCAGAAGCATGCTGTTTAAGACATGGATTTTTCTTATCTGGGTTATCACCATATCCGGGTCCTTTGGATCCAGTTCTGCCCACTGCAGTGAGTCTTACCTTTGGACTCCCCAATCCTTTTTCTGTAGCCCATTTCAGTTCAGATTGTTCTGTTTTTAAATTTTCCTGTCTGTGCTGGGATGGCCGAGGCCCTGGGATATTCATTTGTCTAAACCTCCACAGTGTTTAGTGTAGTGTCATTCCTGGAAAGGGGGTTCCAGAAATAGACTTTGAGGGGCACCTGGGTGGCTCAGTCGGTGAAGCGTCTGTCTTCGGCTCAGGTCATGATCCCAGGGTCCTGGGATGGAGTCCTGCATCCCTGCTCAGTGGGGAGCCTGCTTCTCCCTCTGATCCTCCCCCTGCTCATGCTCTCTCTCTGTCAAATAAATAAAAAATCTTTAATAAAAAAAGGAAGTAGACTTTGAGTGTATATACTCAAAAGAATATTTGAGGGCATGTAGTCCCCCAAAGGCAGGGACTCAAAGAGCTATCTGCATATCTGTCTTCACAACAGCATTGTTCACAAGGGCCAAGGGGAGGAAGCGGTCCTAGCAGTTCGCTGGATTAGTGGACCCGGAAATGTGGTCTATCCATACAATGGAATATTATTCATGGACCCGGAAATGTGGTCTATCCATACAATGGAATATTATTCAGCCTTTAAGACGAAGGAAATCCTGACCCAGGCTACAACCTGGAGGACCTTGAGGCTATTCTGCTAAGGGAAATAAGCCAGTCACTAGGACAAACACTGTATGATCTCACTCACAGGAGGTTCCGACGGGAGTCAAATTCAGGGAGACAGAAGGTGAAATGGTGGCTGCCAGGAGCTGGGGGCTGAGAGGCGAGTTATTGTTTGATGGGGACAGAGTTTCAGTTTTGCAAGAATAAAAGGGTCCTGGTGGTGATTTTTTGCACAACAGCGGGGATGTGCTTCATGCCAGTGAAATGGTTAAAATGGTACATTTTATGTTTGTGTGTTTTGCCACAATTAAAACAGAAAAAGAAATACTTTGTTAAATGTCGAATTGGGGAGCTCCTGAGTGATTTCTGCTGTACCTGTGCAGTCCTGCTCTCTCAACAGGCTCACACTTCTGCAACATGTAAATCATATTCGATATCAATGATCAGTATTCCCCCCTCCCCCTGAAAAGCCCTCCAGTGGCTTCCCACCTGGAATCAAGTCTGAAATTCTTAGCACAACCTATTGGCCTTCCTGGCCTGCCTCATCTCACACATGCCTCCCTCATTCTTCTGTCTTTCCTCCTGCTCCCTCCGGTCTCACGGTTTCCCCATAGTTTCCCCTGGGGAAAAGCTTCCATCAGCTCTTATCTGGCTAATTCCCCTCATTCTTTCAGTATCGGCTAACACACCCTTTATCAGGGAAGCCAGTCCTACCACCCAGGCCAGCTGGGGCCTCTGGCTGTGGGCTGTCTGCGTGCTCTTTGCTTGGTCTTTCATAGTACTTAGCATGCCAGTTGTTAATTGTTCATAAAATCATTCAGACTGTAAGCCCCATGAGGACAGAGACACGGACTGTCCCCGTGGCCTGTCACAGGCACTCAGACATTTGCTGGATGAACGAGCCTGATGTCACATTGTCCTTTGTGATGTGGACAATTTCTGCCAGCCCCATCATCAGGGCTGTGACACATGCTAAGACCCCAGGCAAAGTAAAATCATTTCATGTGCAGTCCTGGGTCATCCCCTAATGCAAAAAAGGTCAAAGTCGCAAGCTCTGCCATCATTCCTAACCGAGGGGGATCAATATTTACAGACAACTGTGGTCAGGTGCTCAACGCACGGCCCTGCTTATTCACAAGGACATTAATATTTTTCACAACGTCAGCTCTAGATATAAAAAGAAATTGCCCACAGACGAGATGGCACGTTAGCTTACCGATACCTAGATTTTCACATTGATCGCAAACAAGATCAAGGACTATGTCTTCTACCTCCCCTCCAGGAAACCCCGGCACTCTGCTCCTCTTCGCAAAAGGAACTGGGTGTTGGTGATGGGGCGGAACATTCTGGAACAACTTACTGTGTTTTGCTCCCACTATTTCTTTGTCCTTTTTACCACTTTGGCTCACACCTCTCCTCTCCTTTCCGCCCCAATCCACCTGCTCGCAAAGTTTTCTTCCTCTTGGATCCGGTCTCCTGAAGTTAGAACATTCAGTCTTTTTCTGTTCTCACCATCTGCTGCTGGGTAAGAGGTGGAATGCTCTGTGTGTGTATGTGTTTGTGTGTGTGTGTGTGTGAGTGTGTGTGAAGGGTAGGGTGGTCTTCAATTCTGAAGATGAGGAAGGAAGCAGGAAGACGGCCTCCAAAGTCAGGTCTCTGGATAGAGTATCTTAAAAACAATTCACCGAAAAATCACCCCTCCTGCTGGCATCTCTCCCATTTGCTCTTGTGTTAAGTAGCTGTCTGTCTCCTTCCACCTGTACCTTGCCTTACAAAGGCTCCCTTCTTTTAGGCACGGAGAAAGGAGAGGAAGATACACCTGAGAGATAAACCACACTGACTTTTACAAACCATTTAAGGGAGTATATAGTGGATGGATGCTGAATAAATTTATCTCAACTGAGTGGTTGATTGAGAAAAGTTAAACAGTTACATAATACCTATTTCTTACAGACTCAGAAACACTGTAGTATTTATTAGCCAACGAGAGCAATGCTGAACTTAAAAAATAAAACTACCTATCATTAGAAAGATACGAGATTATCAATTTAAAAACACATCAATCTTTAAAATGAATTTCTAACATTTAGCAAATACTTTTTTTTTACTTAGCACAGTATTTTGTAAACAATGTTTTCATAAGTACTTAAGTGTTTGGGAACTCTTGTGTATCAGTCAGAGTTCTCCAGAGAAACAGAACCAATAGGATATATGTATGATATATACTACAGAAAGGAATTTTTTTTTAAGATTTTATTTATTTATTTGAGAGAGAGAGCAAGCGAGAAAGAGCACAAGGAGGACAGAAGAGGAGAAGAGGTTTCCCTGCCAAGCAGAAAGCCCAATGCAGGGTTCGATCCCAGGACCCTGGGATCATGACCTGAGCTGAAGGCAGACGCTTAACCGACTGCGCCACCCCAGCACCCCCAGAGAAGGAGATTTATTAAAAGTTTGTTCACACGATTATGGAAGCTGAAAAGTCCAAGTCTGCAGTGTGGGTCGGCAGGTTGGAGACTCAAGAGGGCCACTGTGCAGATGTAGTCTGAAGGCCACCTGCTGCAGCATTTCCTTCTGCTTAGAGAGGCTGGTCTTTTTGTTCTATTTAGGCCATCAACTGATTTGATGAGGCCCACCCACAATCTGCTTTACTCCAAGTTCGTCCACATAATATTAATCTCAACCAAAAACATCCTTCAAGTTGACACATCAAATTAACCATCACGTGCTGTATGTGCACATTGACAAAGAAAGAGAATGCAGCAGAGGACATATTTCAGTGAAAAAAAAAATTGTAGTGCCCCACTGCACCAGAACCAGGACCAAGGCTGGAAGCTCCCTCATGGAGGTGAGTGACACCTCGTGGGCTGTAAGCCACTCCTGCCCTAACCAAAAGGAAAAAAAATAATAAGCCACACAATATCTTTGCCTAGAATCTTGAAAACTGTCTCAATAGCTCACCTTAAAAGCCTTGTCCTGCCCCCGGTGAGGAATTAGCAATATCTACTTAATGCCCTCTGGCTCTGAGCCCAGGTGCAAAAATTTAAATCCATATGCTAAACCATCTCTAAGGCCACCTACTTATCTATCAGGGAAAGGAAATTGCCAGTATTTTGAGAAACAGCTCCTTGGGTAGCAGCTACTATTGGGGAGAATTTGATTGGCCTGGTATATCCAAGTTTGGCTGAATGCAGCCTTTCAATGCTCATCAGCAGGCTAGCAAAATAGAGTCCATAATGGATTTCACCTCCTTCCTTACTGCAAATGCAGCCCTGAAAGCCCCTCCCACGCGCTCACGTTGGCCTTGGCGTTGGCGAGAACTCCCTCTGCTTCAGATTCTCCCTGCGGTGACGTGCTGCGATTCACCATTCAACAGGATCCTTGTGCCGCGGTAGATCTGGCCATCACCTCCCCAGGGAACAGCAGCAACAGAGGGAGAAAGGCGGACAGCAAGAGCAAAGCTTGGGAATTCTGATTTTTGCCTCAGAGACAGGATGATCAGGCTTCATCCTGCTCCTTCTGTCTGCCAAACTCCGAGGGATGCATGCCCTGGGATGAGAGCAGCCTCACTGGGGCACTCTGCACTCTCTAGAGCAGGGAAGGATGCTTATGCAGAACCCCTTCTGTTTGCAGAAAACCAAAAAAGGAGAGGCAAGGATCTAGTGGTAGGAGCAAAGACAATTTTTTTTTCCTCTTTTTTAAAAGCTCTTGGACTGTGTTTAAAAGATAAACTGATGGAAAATTTCACGGCCCTCATAGCCTCCCAGTGTTCATTGGGATCTCAGGGGAGACAACACATGGCATACTGGGAATGAACGTGTCCTTCCTGGGGACTGCTGTGAACATGGTCACACCTCCTTCCCCCCCCTTAGACGTGGCCTATGGTTAAGCCTTCCCCCCCCCCCCCCCGCCTTGGTTAGGCCACTGGCTCTCTCGGTTCTTCACGCTTCTCTTTCTCTGCATCTTCAAATGAGCGAGGCAGTCTGGGGCAGAGGTAAGACAGTGTCTGTCTCTAATAGGCTGATTTGCTGAGTGTCCAAAGGATGGCTTGTCCCCAAATATTTACGTTTTCTTTGTCCCCCTTCCTCCCCTAATTTACTGTGAATATCTACCATGAGAGTGGGAAATGCATGAGGGAGGCCAGACATTCCGTAATGAGCACGCTGCTCTGGGGGTTCAAGATGCCTGGTGATTCTCCTCGGCACCAAGTTGAAAGCCAACAGATTCTGGGTGAGACCAACACAAGTGAAGATCTGACTTCCTAGAAAGGTACGTATTCATGGGATGCTAATGGCAGTCCCTTATGAACTTCACTGTGACCACCCACTCGAGTACGAGCTGAGAAACAGGGAAGGGAAGAATGGGTGCCTAGAATGAATCGTGTCACCTCCTTTTGAATGGGGCCATGAGTCACAGGGCTTAGCAACAGTGAATGTCGGGCTTCAAGGCAGAAATGATGGTGACAATTGGTCAGAAAGAGGCTCCTCAGCCCAGAAAGAGTGAGATGCTCAGAACTAATCGAGGCAATAATATGAAATAATGTGCAGCGGGGCAGGAGTTCTGTATCGCATAGGAATGCTTGACTGTTAAGTATGGAAAACTCAACGAGAGATGCTCAAGCAAACCGGAGCTTATTTTTTCTCACTTAACAGTAAGTCCCAAAATAGATACTTTCTAGCAGTGGTTGAGCAGCTCCGAGGAAACCAGGTTCTTCCCAGGGTTTCTTCCCTGACACCTTTAATGTGGAGTTTGTCACCTTGCACGTGTTCTCTGATGGGCTTGAGATGGCTGCCCCTGGTCCAGGGCACACACTGTGTTCCGGCGAGAAGGAGTAGAGGCAGGCTGGGGCTGTGACGGTCTCTCTTCTTCTATCAGAAAGCAAAAGCTTTGGGACTCCTGGGTGGCTCAGTCGGCTAAGTGTCTGCCTTCGGCTCAGGTCATGATCTCAGGGTCCTGGAACTGAGTCCTGCATTGGGCTCCCTGCTCAGTGGAGAGCCTGCTTCTCCCTCTGCCTGCCCCTCCCCCCTGCTTGTGCTCTCTCTCTCTCTCGTGTTCTCTCTCACAAATAAATAAATATGATCTTCAAAGAAAGCAAAAGCTTTCCCAGACATATAGCTAGCAGACTTCTGCTGAGGTCTCTTTGTCAAGGACTGGGACACACAGCCAGCCCCCATTCCCTAACTCTAAGGAAAGGAAAGTAGGGAACAAGATTGTCCTGCTGGCTGCCTAAGCATAAGCCATTGTCTGGGGGTGGGGGAGGGGTGGTTAACACACCGTCACCTGGAACAAAATCAAGGTTTTATGAGCAAGGGAGAAGGGAGGATAGATATTCGATTAACAGCTAATGCTGTCTGCCACAGATCCCCAAAGGAAATTTGAGGCTTCTGGATATCCTGATTCGGCTATAGCAGTTTTCTCCACGGAGATTCTCTGAGGGCTTTCATGGGAGACATTACAAGGCAAAAATCTCAGATAGAACCTATCAAGCAGCTCCATCCCAATCTTAGACCCTCAGAGGTAAACAGCTGAAGGCTCCAGCTGAAATCTTGCTAGTAGTTGCTCTTCTTTCCTTCTATACGTGTCTTCCACTTTGCAACTGTGAACATCGAGGATGGAAAAGCAAACCGCATTGACAACAGCGCCATCTTCTATCCAGAGAAACATCAGCTTCTAACCAGATCTGCGCATCCGTTCCAGAGGGTGCGTGCATACAGGATGCAGGCATTTAATAAAAGACTTTTCCAGTGCATTTTGAGCCCTGTGTACCTATCTCTGAGTGGGTGTTCATCATTCACTATTTTCTGTGGCTCTCTATTATCCACAGGTTTGTGGTGTTCTTGCTCACTCATTCCCAGCAGCATCCGGAAAGATCCAGTTAAGTACCTGCAGGGAGCCTTAGCAACAGCAAACAGGGAGTCTATTTGTACAAACGCTCCTCTAAGTAAGAGACATTTCAGAAAACATTGACCTGTTTGACTTTCCCTAACTTACACTTCCTCTTCCCCATTCACCTCTCTTCTTTGCCCTTCCAAAGAGGAAGCAGTATTCATTGTAAATTGGAAATATGAGAAGAGTCAGGATTAAAATTCAGAGGCACTGCCAAACCATCGCATTTATAAGTGATTCAGCTTAGAAGGGAATCCAGGATATCCATCTTTAGAGATCTCACGGGAAGATTTAAAATATATGGCGTAGGCAACTAACGCCCATAAATTTGAATTATTTGTATGTTGCAAGCTGTGTCGTGAGAGCCTAAGCAAGGGGGTCGTTCAGCTGAGAGAGCCAGAGGTGGAACAGGGGGCGCATCCCAGGGGCCATTGCCAGACAAAGCACAGGCAGACAGACACGTTCCTGGCTAGAGGAAACAGCCTGTGACAGGCTTTGGGTGTAAAGGATGCAAGAGAGAATGCTGAATACATGAATCCTTGAGCCAAAGTAGCTAAGAAAGCAGGAGAGACTCTGACACTTGCCTGTACCGACACCTGCTTTTGCTGTTAAAATAACCGCTAGTTGGGCGCCTGGGTGGCTCAGTCGGTTAAGCGACTGCCTTCGGCTCAGGTCATGATCCTGGAGTCGCGGGATTGAGTCCTGCATCGGGCTCCCTGCTCAGC